AACGAATACACACATACCCGCCTCGTGTACAACATTCATTTCCACAGTGAAATATTTAGAGTATTCTAACTCTGTTCACTTGTACACAGTGAAATATTACACATATATTTATGTTGTTGGCTCTTCGAACATTCATAAGAGTTAAAGATGCTGCAAGTAACAGATTGGCGAATATGAAACTACGTTGTTTAACAAGTTGAATTTTACAATAGAATAAAACAATTTTAACATTCTGTATCTGTTTATTATTATCATAAAAGCAATAGAAAATTTAATATTGATTCACGAGATTACTGAATTTCTTATAGTTTCTGATTTCCTTTTCATTTATTCATTTCTTAGTTCGTTCGTTGCAAAATAAATTATTTAAATCATTTGAAATCTATATCTTAAGAAAGCTAAATGTAGCTACTTTTAAGGTGTTCCGTGAATACCAACCTAATTAAATTCTTTCAGAAGCAAATATGTATATAATTTTTGTAAATGCCAAAAGTGGAATAGTACAAGAAGATTTGATACATACGGTGAATAAATGTCTCTTTATCCTTCCTTTGTACTATCCAGAAGAAACAGTAAGTTAACGTAAACTATGTAAATATAACTGTGAATTATTATTCAGATAAATATGTTACAGTATGAAGTAATCATTGAAGATTATTTGTATCCGATAGGTAAACTAACTATATCTTGTACGTGCAAACACGTTTTTATTTCTAACTCTGTCAATAACTTGTCGTCAAAGCTGTCATTACATAATTCGTATATATGCTTATTTTTATGATATTATTTGAGTTTGGAACACTTCTTATAAGGTCTTAATGAAGTAGCGGATATACAATGCACTTGAAACTGTGTAGAAAACAGAAATAAGGAAAAAAAGTTGAACAATATATGTATATATGACTCAGTTTTTCTCTTTCTTAATGAAACAACACTGATCTCTAAAATTTTTCAAATATAAACTGTCTTTTACAAAGTTATTTGTAGTTATAATTAAAACTTGAAAACAAAATGAAAATGGAAGAGAAAATAGTAATAAACATAAATTCTAATTTATGTTGCGGACGTATTTAACTAACTAATGTTCATGGATAATACTTTATCGTTATAAAAAGTGAAACATAATCTTTCCATATGTTCTGCTTAACACCAATACATATGTATCTCATATAGTGTAGAACGAAACATTTTAACTTCTAATTGAACATAATATAGAAATCAAGTGTCATTGTGATGATACAATTCATTGTTTTAAAACTTTGATTTGCAATGCGTTTTACCGTCGATAGCGTAAGAAACGCGATATCCGCCCTCAAAAACTATTGTAATTATTCCCTCCTAGCTGAGAGCTGAAACCTCTGTTCGGGGAGTAACCGGGCCTAAAGTTGTTACCTAAACCTAATAAATTACAAAATATACGTTACACAACTTATCTTTAAAGCTCGCTATAGTCTAAATTCAACTTCAAAAAATTTTCAAATATACCTCCGCAAAAATTTCCGATGCCACCCAACGACATTCCGCTTGAACCACCAGTAGAATTTAGGAATAATTCAATGTACCTATGGGACATGTGACTTTTGTCCTGTAACATAAGATCACAATAGTAAATGTAGTTTCACGTTTAACTAATTATTAAACTGATGCCTGAAATTCGAATGTAATAGTTTTTAATAGAATTTTAAATTATATTGGAATTTTTATTGATTCTATACAAAACAATGATTGTTTCGTATTAATAATTAAAGGATATAAACCTTAGACATTGCTTTAACAGCTTCTTCGTGAGTTGCGAATTCTACATCAGCTTCTCCGGATGGTCGTCCACCATTTTCAAGAATAATCCGTACATTCACTGGTTCAATAGGTCTGAAGAACTGCAATTAAAGTGTTCAATTGTGATACTGATAAGCTACGTAATCGAATTTTACTATAACATTTTTAAATTACTAATAAATTTGTTTTAAACAAACTTACGTCAGCTATATCTTGTTCTGTAGCTTTGAATGGCAATCCACGCATGTGTATACTGTGAATACCAGAATTACCACCCCATGTATCACCACTGCCTCTGAAGTTTCCACCCTTCATATCTAGACCACCGCGCATACCCATGCTCCCTCCACGGGAATCAAAATTGTTTCCACTTCCCCAAGGGCCACCATCAAAGTCTGTAACGTATTAAATAACAATAAAAAAAGATCAATAAAGCATCTTACCTTCCGAGTCTTTCACAATGTAAAAAAAAGAAACATTGTTTACATATTAATTTCTGGCTTTCGGGTGAGAGCCATGTCCACTAGAAATTTTTTCCCAACGTTTCGCCAGCATTGCAGCTGGCTTCATCAGGGGGCTAAAGGCATCTGATACTGATGTGTGCCGGAGAGGAGTCTCTTTAAATACGTACCCTGTTCATGTTCCGGATCGATGGTCACCAGTTACTTTAATTGATCAGCTGATCACGGCTCTTACCCGAAAGTCAGAAATGAATGTAACACTCCAGGCCGTGAAAGCATCAAAACTACTATTGTTTATATAAGTTTTAAAAGTAACTATTTGAAATGATTAATACCTCTGTTTCTGGAACCTCTGCCATTATTACTAAATCGGTTCATCCCACCGAATCGAGCACCTCTATCATAGGGAGCAGGTCTCTGATTAAAACCACCCATTGGTCCACCTCTCATTTTTGGTCCAATATTAGCACGTACTTCCGACAAAGTGCTTCGGAAGATTTCGATGTATCTGTTAAGGTTGATATTAAAATCGTTAGCATTCATGTAGAGGTATTACTGCCGTTTATAATCGGCTGCCTTCGAATAGGAAACTTCAATGCAAAAATATCAATGAGCACAAGTTCGAAATAAAAAAGAGATATGTAAAGGGGTAAATGTGAAATCAAAAGTAAAAATTCTGCGCATAGCAGGTATAGTAAATTTGATTATTGTGTGATGCGAAGAAGAAAAAAAAATTAAAGACAGAAAGAAATGATTCAAAGAAAAAATCCATATTGAAGATTTTGTAACAGATTAACTGTTCATACTGCACCTCCACGGATTTATTAAACCTGTGTAGATACCCTCCCTCGGTGACATTGCATTCTGTTGCACCTATGTCACCCTAGCCTTTGAGATGCTGATGATCCTCAGGTATATGACAATTACAATTGCAGTTTATGCAATTCAATGAAAAGAAACTAAGACTGGTATCGAGAAGCGATACAACTACAATGAACATACTCAGAATCGAAAAGTTTCATGACCTTGTAGGAAGCTAGAACGTCAGAGTTAGCATATGGTACTACCATCGCAGTAAACATTTTCGTGCATTACGAGCTGTACTTCACTAGTGATATTTTGTTTAAACAAAAAAACTGTGCGAAGCCTTTGAGCTTGAACTTTTTTTTCTCTGTTGCATAAAACGTACAATTGTGCAATTGTCAAACAGATGTGCCAGATTAGATCGATGATAACTACCTCTGTAGCGCCCACCCATCCTGGGTTAGCCCTACCCACCTCCCATGGGGTTTGGTGACGATGTAAGGGGGTACCTCCCGCCCGGCACCCACCCATAGGTTTCAGTTGGGCCAACAGTACTTTCGCTTACGTACGACTAACTTTCTTTTATCCGTGTTTAGATAGAAGCAGTTTCTTTATCTAACCAATACGCATGACGACACGTAACAGATTAATAAAGTAAAAAGAAAGTTTAATATAATTTGAAACCTATTTCATTTTGTTTCTTAACAAGCTTTTATTAATGGAATAGTAGTAAAGAAACTGCATCCGTTAAAAAATTTTTCCCGCTATTTACTAACAAAATTTATATACCTACATGTACTACAATCATAAAATGATATTGAAAAGTCATAAGTATACCCAAACCCAGCTAGCGTCAGTGCCCCACCTGTGTCCTATCTTTTCCTTGTGTTTCTGCAGAGCGCGCTCCGCAACATCTTTGTTAACAAATTGAACGTAAGCCTCCCCAGTACTGCGGCCCGTGTAGTCTGTCGGTAGTGAAATCCCGTTCGGCAATATCTCCAACCCTGACCCACACATAATCAAACATCGACATTGTAGCGTAACACCCATTATTAATTAAAGTATCGTCAGTTTATTAAAACCCTTATAAGAAGCAAGATTTTAATATCCTTTGCACATTATGTGCAAAATGTCTCGCTCCAAAAAATATACTATAAATATATATATATACTATATATATATATATATTTAAGAAAGACAAAAAATACTTTACTAGGCCAAAGTTAAGAATTAAGTACTACCTTCAAAACACAAAGATGTATTGTAAATAAAATGTAAAGCATATGGAAAATATAATAAAAGTCTTTCGATCCAGGGCTAGTGAAACACAGGAACTTGAATTTTAAAAGTCTTAAATCTTAACTCAGGCGACTGGATAATCATGGAACACAGAGGTGTTGCTTAGGATGGTTATAAACACAAGTATGAAATTACAGGACGTCTTGATATCATGATTTAAGTATCTGCGTATATAAAACTAAAACACAAAACAGAAAACAATGCCACTTCGTACTTAATCAAAGAATGCTATTATACGTATATACTATAGCCATCAAAAACATTTGGTCCCTGTGATTCAAGATTACTTTTAATCAACAAAAATTGTACAAGAGGGAAATAATTTGATTTAAAAAAATTTAAGGATACATTGGTTATCAAGAAGGTTTAAGTGAAATTTCAATAATGCATTGTAATAAAAAAATAATTACAAATACAAGCTCATATATGTTGTGTGAAATACCTGAGAAAAATTGTGCTATCTCTTCTTTGGAACATCCAAATGGCAGGCCACGAAGTCTTACACAACCATCATCCATTGCAATTTCTACGTTCAAACCACTTCTTTTGACTACCCATTCCATTTCACCTCTTTTTGCTTTGAAAACTATAGCAAAAATAAAAAAAAATTAACTATTTTCATGGACTCATATGATATACAATAATATATGTGCTAAATGAAATTTTTGTTCTAAGTTTATAAAATTATATTATTCTGTTAATTTTTACATGAAAAGTTAGAATAACTATACATTACTTAATTTACCTTCTATATAACGATGACCCATATGATCTCTGTCTCTCTTACAAGCTTTTTCAATATCTTCTGGTGTATCCATTTCAACGTATGCCTCGCCACTAGGGCGGCCTTCTCTGGACATAGTCATGTGAACTCCATTTTTACCATTTGAAATAGAACAATCACTGAAGAATTTCATGATCTCATCAACAGTAGTAGACCACGGAAGACCACGTAATTTGACAACATAGCCTTCATCGTCATGATCTCCACTACCATTCGACATGGCTAGAAACTAAAGTAATCTTTATTATAAAATGATCAACATACATTATAATACATCTTCTAAAATAAATGAATAATAATATCCATGAGAATTGACATAATTTTAGCAACATTTAATCTCTGCAATCTCATTTTTAGAAATTTTATTAGCTTTAAGTTAGTAAGGTTAACTTCGTCACGTTGAAGCAATATTATCTATACATATTTCTTCATTGACTAATTTTCATTTTAAAAAATATTAATAAAATAGTTGAAGGTCAAAAAACTAAAAAAAGAAAGCTCGAAATAGACAAATATGAAATAAATATTTTACAATGTATTGCTAATAAAAATACCGAGCTGATAATAATAATAAAAATTAGTAAAACTTGGAAAATAATAACGTAAAAATTTCAAAGAAAAAAAGGCTTAAGCTCAAAGAATACGTAATGCTGTAAATATTTGGTTTTAACTTTTCATATATATAAATTTTATTGATTTAAAAAAATTAATACATTATTTATACTTACAAATATTCAGTGATGAAATGTGGACAAGAAAAAATTCACAAATTAATTTTAATTGACAGCAAACGCTTCGCCAACACCACGCTTTACGGAACTATCAGCAAAATGGCGTACGCTTCAGATATGCTTAAGGCTGGTTTACAATTATCAAGGTGATCTTATAACTATGTATCAATCATTAAAACGGTAATATATTACAAATATTCTTATGTAATGTAGAAAATTATATTTTTACTACAAATTTAATCTGTTTCAAACATATAAAAATAATTAAATATTCATATATTCAATGAATGTGTAAATACGTAATTTAGGCGACACTTAATGGAAACAGTTCACATGAACATGTGTTCTATTTGACTTTGTTTAAAGCCATTTTTGTATTTCAATAATATTTAAACTATTCACCTTACTAGTACTAAAATATTTTGGCTGTTGATATGACAAACCTTTTAATAAATTTAACTACACCTGAAATTTCTGAAAGATTGTGCGATTTTTTTATATGAAGATTTCAATACATATATAGCAAGGCTCACCATTTTGAATATTTTTTATGAACGTACCTGTTTATATAGTTACATAAGTGTTACTGAACAAACATGCTTATAACTTTGATACAAGATCAAATCGAATATATTTACTGTTCATATAAATTTTTTTCATTTTGCATCTCTTGTCCACTCCTGAATAGGATTAATATATTCTGTTGAACTCTGTATAATTACCTACAAAACATCTGTTTGAATGTTCTTGAATATTCTCATCTTGCCTATTATCACAGATTTAGTACAGTACCGGTACAAATTATAAAGGTCATGAAATTTTGTTTAAGGCTTGAGATCTGTATTATTTTAATATTATGCTAAAGATTGCGGACAATTCACGATATCAGATTCATTAACAATAATCAGATTAGCTTTATGTCTCAATTGTATTACAGAATATTTAATCTGATTCTACGACTAAAAACGCACACAGCGGGAATATTTAAATAATGAAAACAAAGTTTCTGGAATACAATATTACATAATTGTAGTTTTTACTGACTCGTTAATAAAAATATATTTAGGTTATTTTTAACAATAGTTTATATGAAAAAATAATAGAGAGAATTTTTGTATCTATTTCACATAAATATTAATTCTCCGAACAATAAAGACATATAATAATGTGTTGCTGCATAATAACAATTGATATTAAAAAATTCTCGTTTATGATTTTAAGTTTATAAAGTACTACCTAAAAATCAGAATATGTATTTTAACATGAAAATAATTAGAATCAAAAGGAATCACGTTAGCATATTGAAAATTACGAACGAATGTCGATCATTACCCTTTGTGTTATGTATTCATACACTAGGGTTGTATTTTGAACAACTATGATCGGTATAACAGTTTGTCCTAAGTAATTAAACTCTGTATGATGTTTGATTTTTTTATTATATAATGTTTATGCGCAGAATACCGATATTTTCCCGCTGTTTCTTGACATTTAACGAATTTGTTTTTTTCCTCAATATTTCGTTTTGCGAATTCAGTATCCCGATAACAGTAGGACATTCAGTAACAAATTGAACAGTAGAAAATGTATTTTCCTCCGGAAATATGGGAACAAATATTTTTGTACACCGACGCAGTAACACTTACAAAATTTAAAAGAGTTTGCAAATATTGGAATGGAGTTATCAATAGGATTTTAATGGTATTTTGTACATTACTTTAAAATTATCTTCAACCGTTTTCTTGTCCTTGTTTTTCTTCATAAAAATACAAATGCGGATGCGTATTAAAATCTTTAGAGCTTTAAGCATTTCAAAATAACTTTGAACTTGTCTATAATTATTTAAAATTTATTAATTAATCGCAGGAAAATGACCACTGGCACAGAATGTGTAAAAAAGAAATCCCTCAAAACTTATGGAGCACTTTTTGTGAGACACTGAATCCGATGAAACATTATACTAAATTTCATGAGATATATGATTATAATATGTGGATGGCATTATATAAATTATGGACTAAATTCAGAAATATACCAGAATGGAAACCAGGAACTGAATGTATTGAGCCATTAAAAATACAAAGTCATACAGAACATATCACATGTTTAGAAATATCAGGTACTAATGTATAGTTAAGTCTTACAGTAAATTATAATTAATATTGAATGTAAATACTGTTGTAGAAAACATAATGGCTGCTGGGTCTAGCGAAGGCTACGTTTATTTTTATGATGTCTGTGATATATCCAAAACTCCATTTTTTGTAGCTGACAATGTGGAATATATACAAAATGTACAGTTTATTAGAGATGGTATATATGTTTATGCATATAGTTAACAAATAATTGTATTACAAATTCTTAAGTATACACATTTTCTAGACGCGTGTGTCCTTTGTGTTACTCGTTCTATAAATAATCACATAAGTATTTGGGATTTGAGGACAAAAAAGTTAATTAACAAAACAGTAGGAGAATTAATTTGGTATGATTTCAATAATATAAAATATAAAAAATAAAATAATTATTCCTATTTTTATTAAATCGTAAACATTTAATAGTACAAGTTACAGTTACTTTTACAATGCAGTCCGTAATATGGTAATTATTGAAGGTACAGTAATAGAAGGGACAATAGTTAGGACAGTATACGAATTGAATACAACTGAAGTTATTGCTCTTGGTGCAGATAATAATAAGGTACCAGTTTGAGAATTATTCTATCAATAATTTAGTAACTATACTAGATTTAAAATATTTGAATGTTTTATTAAGGTACATCTTTACACGCGAGAACGTTTCATACATTTACATCTGACTCCTGAAAATAAGAAATATATTACTTACACACTTGCTGAAATTCCAAATATAAGAGTTCATCATTTTTATATATTCAAACCAGATGTAGTTATCTGCATTGCAGGTAGTAGTGATTTTATTCATTCTATGGTATTCTAATCCTATAGTATACAAAATAACAATATATCATTTGTGATTTTAGGATATGGATATCTAGGTTTTTTAATTAAAGGTAAAAAATGGGAAATGCACAACTTGTTTCCAATTTTACATTGTACACCGACCGCTGTTTTCCTGTATGGTCGTATACTTTTTGTAGGAGCAGATACTGGTAATTGAATAACTTGTTCAAAATACGGTGGTTCATAAAAATATCTAAATATTAGATTGTTCCATAAGTTTATTTCGGCTCATAATGTTCAGTTCAGCTTTCAAATTTTCAAAAGATGATATTATAAGGCTTTCAAGAAAATGAAAGAAGGTAATAGATCAAAATAGATTGTATATAACTCAATAACATGACATAGAATATAAAATATTAATAGTTCAGTATATAATAAAAAAAATGAATAAACTTTTAGGACAATCTAATACTTATAATAAGTTTACAGTATGTTAAAAGTATCATTGATCAAACTAAATAACATCTGTCATTTTCAGGAAGTGTTTATATATATCACATAAAAGATTTTGCGGCAATCAATTTCAGTACTATTCATTTTAAACAGTTGACTCTTGAACACACAGCAGTTGTATCAGTGAATATACTTGTTAATATTGAAACATATTTAGTAGTTACCTTCAGAAGAAAAATTCACATTCTTCAATTAACTTAGTACTTATAAAATTATTTTATAAACTTTCTATACATAGAATTATTTAAAAAGACGTGTACCTTTTGTAGGACAATATATTTCAGTACAATGTAAACATTTATAAATATATTTATTATAAAAATTTGTATTACAAAAATATAGTTTGATATATAAAATACTGACAAAATTGAGTCTTCATTACACTTTATAATTTTGCGCAGTTCCACTTCCATATATAGCGTCCCATTCAACATAGGCTGTTAAACTAGATTCGGATACACTTGGACGTACATAAATTAATGCTTCTTTGAAATCATCGACCGTTATTTGTCTAACATCTTCTTTCCTAATATTTTCTAATTGACTAAATGGAATACTTCTTATTGGTCCCATGCTAGCTTCCTTACATAAATTAGACATATCCGCTCCGGAATATCCTTTTGATTGTTCAGCCACATCATTAACTTCTTCTTCCGTGAGATTGTGAGGAACTGTTATTAGTAAGTTATTTATGATTTGTTTACGAGCTTGAAATTCTGGCAGAGGAACATAGAGTCGTTTAACGAGCCGTCTACGAGCTGCCTCATCCAATTCATGAGGTCTATTCGTCGCTCCGACAATTAAAATACGATCCTCGTCTGCGGTGGCAGCTCCATCTAATTGTACCAAAAATTCAGTTTTCAGTCTTCTAGAGCTTTCATGTTCGGTTTCAGATCTTTGAGTGAGCAAAGAATCTATTTCGTCCACAAAGATAACTGATGGCTGATAAACTCTGGCAACAGCAAACAATGCTCTGACCATTTTCTCCCCTTCCCCTATCCACTTTGAAGTCAATGAGCTTGCAGAAATTGAAAAGAATGTTGACTTACTTTGAGATGCTATACATTTTCCTATAAGTGTTTTGCCAGTACCTGGAGGTCCAAACAACAAAATTCCTTTGGGGGGTCTACGTAAACCAGTAAAGATATCAGGCCTCAACATAGGATATACAACTACTTCTTTAATGATTTTTTTCGCATATTGTAAGCCAGCAATATCATCCCAAGAAATGGTAGTTTTAGAGTCCATTATTTCATTTCTTATCAATTCAATCATTTTTGGTTCTATGTTCTTCAATCTTTCATCCTCCACCTCCATTGTCTCAGCATCATTGTTATACATGTTATCATGAGATTGCATCGCCTTTTCTTTTTCTTTTTTGAAAGGACATACAAATTGGGAATTAACAGTTGCTTTACCGCCTAAGGTCTTTTTCTGCCCTGGCTTATTGGCTTTCATCTGCTGTACTGTTAATTCATCCCTAGCTGTTTTGAAGCAGTTTACTTTAGATTTACATACTTCAGAATCTTTTTTATCATTCCGAACAAAAGCATGTGATTTTGATTTTACATTGTTCTTGTAAGTACCTGGCTGTTCATAATTATTCTTGGATGCATTATAAGTGTTTTCTCTTACAAATTTAGATTGTGTTTTAAGTTCAAACTTGGATCGTTGATGAGGTGCAAAGTTTTGTACTTCCTGATTTATTGAACAAGACTTAGATTCTTGTCTTTTATAAGTTACTTGGGTAGCATTATTTTCTTCTGCAGAATTACTTGATGAGAATGAAGTTCGTTCTACATCGTATTGACTATTATCATCTAGTCTGCTTCTATTGTCAACATTCATACTAGAACTAAGGTTAAATTTAGTGGGTGCACTAACTTTCCTATTTCGTACCAAGAATTCTTTATTTTTCCAGGTATTTACTATAATTTCTATATGTCTATCATTGAATATCCTCCCATTACACAACATTGTATTGTCATTTTGACAAGGTAAAGGTTTCACACAATCAAGTGCTGTCTGTATATCATTTAATCCAGATTTCCATTTTTGTGGATTATTACTGATTTTAGGTGCCTGTACCTTAAACTGTTTCCAATAATTGTTAATACCATTTTTGTTCTCCATTAGAGTTTGATAACTTTCCAAACCTCTTCGAAGTAAACATGCTGCCATATCTTCAGATTCACTGAAAAATATAATATTTTTATATATTTTTCCCTTTAAACATTATGATGTATGTTAAATCTAGATTACTTATTATTATATCATTATGCCAATACAAAACTTACAATTGTTTTGCAGTCAAATACTTTGTAGCAAGACATCTACGTTCAAGATCTGCAACTTCTGTGTCATCTTTGTCAGTTTGAGAAAATTTCAAAATGTGATATGCTGCCAAAAAATTACTTTTCTCTTTACTAACTACTGCTTCAGCTGTAGCCATAATGTCAAAAGGAACCTTAAATTCTACTAATTAAAAAAATTGTATTCATATTAACAGTAGGATTGTATATATCATATAATTCATTCAAAAATTTTAAAGATTCATATCTCTGTTATGCATCAAATATAAGAGTAACTAATCATTTATATTTCAAATAAATTTTTTAGAAAATTCAATAAAATAAATTAATAGTTCTGATATAGTATAAAATAGAGTCTGTCATATAATACAAATACAATGTCCCTAAAATGTCAATACCATTTAAATATCCACTACTGATAAATATAAGTAGTAACCATAGACAAGGTAGAACAATACCTGTATAACTGAATAGCTTGTAGATTTTTACAGCTTAAACGAACTGCTATACTGACCCAAAAATCTGCTTATAGCGTCTTCTCTTATGTACTGAAAACAATTTAAACTTTTCATTACAATCTTTTTTTACACGACCAGTATTTCAGACTATCGGACTATCTATTCTATTTCTCGTCAGTGATTAGACTATTTTTGACAGTATTAGTATTTCAAAATAGTAAATAGTAACTTCACAAACGAAGTATAGGATAGACATAACATGCAATGTAAAATTTTGTTACACGCTCTCGAGGGTACTAGTACCCTTTACCATTTTCATGTCACACCCTATCGTATCGACTAAGGCTGGTTTTGCATGGTAGCGCTATAAGTGATAGGAATGAGAATCAAAAGTACTGAACAAAAAATGCGTACTTAGGTATAATAATAAGTGCAAATTTAATCAACAAATTGTCAAAATTATTATGAATAACACGTACGTAACGAATCGAAACGAATAATTTGTTCTAAAGCCAGAAAGAAGAAATTGTAAATAGCGAAAATAAGCGAAATATTTTGAATGTACCTTTCATGGTTAACACGTATTGGAAACTTTCACCTGCTTGAGCAGAGGAGTCCAATTGGACGAGGCTCAAGTAAGCATTCTGCCCACAAATAGTGTGCACAGTATTTCCCTTCAACCGACATGGCGTCACATCTTTTGTTACGTCATATGTTTACATGTTTTATATATTCCATGTAGGCGTTAGGTACATATGCTGAAGATTTCTACAGGGCCACTTACATGTGAAACCGTCTTCTGTGTACACTGAACATAGTGGCGAGCCTTTTACGGTTCTCCGTGTTAAAAGACAATGTCGAGAATTCTTGGATATTCATTGAGGTTCGAATTTGAAATTTCCTATATGTATTAAAGAGGCCACAGCAAAATGGGAAGTTACGCGAGTAGAATTGCATCTATGTCAAACAATGCCGTGCATTCAATGTACCGAGGTCGTAAACGAAAGTGCATCGAGGAGGATGACTTTGATTCTGAATCAGATTACATCGATCGCACGTTGCAAACGCCGAAAAAGTATGTCCACAACAATGTAAAAATTAGTTAATTCTTTCCACGGTGACTTTACGCAACGTACCGCCGCCTATTCAACGTTTACATCACCGAGAAAAATAACATGCATTGATAACAACACATTATCAATATGTTTCTATTTATATATATTTTTTTATATATTGTTATCATTAATTCATTTTGTACATTTTTAGAAGAAAATTGTTGACAACAGCACAATACATATATAAAACTTTATTTCAAGAAGAAAAAGGCAGTGATATAACTGTGCTCATGTTGGGCAAAGCATGGAGATTACATAAAGTTTATATTAGTCAGGTAAAATCATTGGGTCAATGCTTTCTTTGTATATAATGCTATTCAACGAGTCACGTTGTTATCAGGACTGGTGATTGCTTTGGAATTCAATTCATTCAGATATGTAATGTTTTATTATATTTTGTTTGAGTTCTTATATGTAAATATTTATACGTATTTAATTTATTAGATTTCTGTATTCTCTTTTGTGATTTTGTATTGCTTCTATCATATTTACATTTAATTCTCTTACTTGTTAATATTTCTTTAATATAAAAAGAAATAAGAATTTATATACATAGATTACATATTTTTATATTTAAACAAGGACAATATTATGTGTCATTCAAAACTATTTAACCCTAGTAGCAACATGTTTCAGTGAATTTTATAATTTTTTTTACAGTATATATGTATAAAATATGTTTTCCTTTTAGAGTCCCTATTTTGCGAGTATGTTTTCAGGATCTTGGAGAGAAGCAAATGAGACAGTTATTAATGTAGAAATTGCTGATCCTAACATCACATTGGATTGTAAATAACTTCCATTATTCATAAAAATAATAGATGCTCATTCGTTTCTAATTTAAAATATTTTCAGCCCTTTTGACAGTCTTTGGTTCCTTTTATCAGGATGAAGTTAGTTTGGAACCAAAAGATGTGATATCAATTTTGGCTACTTCCACCTTATTCCAGTTGCAAGGGTTAATCGACCAATGCACAGACATCATGGTGGAAACAACAAATATAAAGACTGTTGTTCCTTATTATAATGCTGCTGTATCGTATGGTGTCCCAATGGTGAAAGCAGCAGCAAAACGGTGGTTAGAAGTTAATCTTTTGGGATATGGTTGGCTGCATCCGACTTTTTTAAAAGAGATCACGCCAGATTTAATGGCAGAGTTAATTGCTAGTCCCGACTTAATTGCTATGCAAACTGAATTTTGCATATATATGATGTTAAGAGTATGGTAAGTACAAAAATTCATCAATTTCCCAAATACATTTTTTTATGTTAAAATAAGCTGTGTTTTAGGCTCTTTGTCCATGTGCACAATAAAGAAGAAACGCTTCAAATCGATGAATACTTTAGAAATCATAAATGGACGCAACCATTTCTTACAACAGAGGAAGGTCAAAAATTTGCGGCACCTTTCAAAGCACTAAGAATGAAATACCTTTTATTACATGACCAGGATGTTAAAATTTTGTACAGTGATAATTTAATACCACATGAATGGTTACACAATGCATACAAGGAACAATGGTTACATTTACTGAGAATAGACGCAAATAAAGATCAAGGGTAAGTTGAGAAATCTATACACTTTCTAAATGTATCCCTGATCTTAGGTCGATGGACATAGTAATGAGTGTCGAATATGTGCCTTCTTTTTTCTCCCCTTCCTTTTTACATCCAGCTTTGTGAGCAAAATAGTCACTATGAACAACCTACTCTCATACTTGTCGACCTACTTTAGGTACATATGGAAACTATTTTACAAGTAAAAGCGTGACAAAATAGTAATTGAGGAGGGAAGATGCTCTGATAATACTTCTTTTTTTAATATTGTAGACCAAAACAGATGAGCGAAGAGGAATTTGCGCGTGAATGTTTTCGTTGTGGAAGATGTATAGAAAAAGTTGGCGAGCATATTTGGAGATGGACAGCATTTCATTTTGGGTTAAATTTGGTCGTATGTTTGGATAGCACCAGTTTGAGAATTAAAAGAAATCACAGACTGGACACAGATCATATTAAAGCTAATCATAGCAAGCACAATATAATCCTAAAGTGAGTACACTTAAAAATTTATCTAAAGTGAGAGTTTATTTCTTAATACTTATATTATAAATTTAATAAATGCGTGTTTAACAGAGTAAGTTTAATTTCATTGGATGAACAACGCCAAGAAAAACACATTCAGAGTTCTGGTATGCTTAGGTTATTACTTCATAAGAATGAAGAAGTAAGTAGCTTAATCGAGTTCTCTTTAATATATTAGAATTTCAATAAAATAAAATTTATTTATTCTTATAGAAACAAGTGATGTCTTTGGATAAAGAACTTACTTATCCGTTGTATATATCGGTCAACATGCAAGTGGTGACACCGTTTGTATCTGCGGAAAAGGAGAAATCAGCCGATATAGCTATATTTTCAGATACTTAGCATTCTGAAAGATAGCTAAACCCCGACGAATGTACGCTTGTTTCAGATACTAATTCAGCTGTTTAACTACGAGTAAGCATTTATGAGTAATGTTCATTCTGGACAATTTCAGAATACACTTTATATAAATTTTGTTATTTGACCCACATAACGTTTACATTATGAAGACATCACTTTTTTATTAAAATGTCTATAAACTGGAGATCTAGTCGACTGAATACAATCGCGGCGTTAGTACGAAACAAATTTTGCTTGTTCTATCAGTACTTTTGGATAAGTGCAAATCTAGAGACTTATTTTTTATAACGTAAATTCGACTCATTCTATTAATAGAATTACATAAATATTATTTTAAAAATTGATAACTTACCGGTAATACATATGAAATATGAGATAAGGTAAGAAAAAAGTATCATATTTTGATGTTGAGCAAAAAGAGAGATCTATAAAGCAGTTTAATTTCTATCCAAACTCAGCTTTAGAAAACAAGTGTTATACGAAACACCGCAGTATTAAAGACATTTATTTTCACTGTCATTTATGCATTTAAATATTTATAGTGCAATGAAAATGCTGATAATCAATTACTTTGTGAATCTGCAACCGACAAATTTCATACTTTTGCATTAAAGAAGGATATATGTGATTATAAAAGTGAATTCATAGACACACTGATTGAGTGATTCTGTGTCTTCCGGCCAGCCATCGAAATGTCGACCTTCGTGCCTTGTGAATATTGATCGTAAAAGAACATGTAAGCAAGATCTTTTACCACTGAATAGCGTCAGTTTTTATATGGTATTTTTAATTTTCGAAACATTTATTATACGATTACATTTTCAAACGAGTAACGCGCAAAACACGTTCCTTCGATTCCGCAGCCGATATATTCTATATGGTGCTATCATTCGATAAGTAAATAATTTTTCGTTTCACTTACTAAATAGGAGCTATAGTATAAGAATTTACTCCACTTAGTGATTAAGTCTTTCTACATTTAATGAACGCTCTTAATTTCAAATTAACTTCTTAATAGAGGTATATAATGCGTTATATATAACACCTGTCGTATTGTCATTTAGTTTTTACCTTTAGCATAGATTTTCATAATAGGTGTCTTCAGTAATGAATATATAGCACAGTAATGCTTTAACCTGTTTTTTTATATCTCAGAAAAGCTATAAAGAATAACTGATAGTAAGAAAGAATTTTGTAACATCGAAATTTGTAATGTTCTTAGAGATGAACATTAATTTAATACACGAAACAAATATTGTTTTAGTAAGGTAACTGTTAAAGCATTGAATTTTCGTTATCATTATCCAGAAACCTCGGATTATTTTCTACTGACACTTTAATGAATGTGCACTTTACATGCAAATGTATCATACGATAATCTACTTCTGTGATCTGGCGGGAAAAAATTGTAGACCAAGCACGAATAAATCAGCAAGGTTAAAGAACTTCAACATATTACTATGTTAATTCCATTAAATAATAAGTTGAATAAACAGCTTTTTACATACTGAATAAACAACTAATAATTACTAATATCTTGGAGCTCGAGTTTAAATTTATCCCTTTTTTAAATTTTATTTTGACTTTGTTTTCAGTAACCATTTAACACTTTATTGACAGAATATTTTCTGTACATAGTGATCGATGTGTACAGTTTAATATTAATATATCAGAGAATACCTGACATATTTTGCTAATCAAACATAACATGTACACATGTCATACTGAAAAGTATGTCAAACCGATGGTGTAGGACGAATGGAATTATAATACTTCTCCATTTCTT